TTTTATTTAAGATAAGATCATTTATTTTTTAGGTCGTTAAAAAAATTGAGAAAAATAAGTATATTCTGTTGGAATACTTGGAGAATTACGAAAGGAAGGATTTTCCCTGGTAATTTAGTTTGTTGTAAATCTTTGGGGTTTGCCTGTGAGCACAAATGGCTGCTAGCAGCAACCCTCTGAAATAGAAACGAAACCATACGTGTGCAGCCCCTTTCCCGGACACGGATCTTAATACTGCGTTTCTAAGAGTTCGAAAATGCATTTTTCTTTCCTCAAGCTGCAAGAGTGAAAAAATTGTAAAATGAAAAAAGGAAAATATGTATTTAATTTCTACTACTTTCTTTGCCACTTACTTAATGCGTTTATAATCGCTTTTGCAGAGGGTCTGAAAAAATTGAAAATATGTGAACAAGTTGGTAGAGAGTAATAATCCGACGTAACGTTTGCACAACGACTCGTTTATTACTGACCTCGTAATCTTTGAGTGCCTCAGGCGTATACGTTTTAAAGAAACAACGACCCTGCTATTTAAACTGCAGGAAAATGCTTATTACGATTATTGATAAGAAAAAAAAGCAAACAAACAAACAAAAACAAAAACAAGTAGGAAAGGAAGAAGCATTAAGAAGTTTCGTTGATGATTTTTCGGAATTTTCACTTCTAGTGAAAATAATAACCCTCGATTGTTGCTTTGTCATTTTTGGTGTTAATATAACAACGATAAAACGACATTCTTATCTTGTTTAACGATATCAATGACGAAATTGTGTGATAAGGTAAAGAGGGAGATGAAAAAAAAAACAAATAAAAGGAAGAAAAGAGTGTTAAAAGAAGGAACGAATAATTTAACATTGTAACAATATTCTATAAATGATAATGACGATTACCAAAAGAGAGAATCTAACGCGTAATCCCAGGACTGACGTAATCTGTTAAATAATCGACGTCCGGTTCTCGATTTGTCATCTATAATAAACGCGTAACTTAATGAAACCTCGACTAAATGAGTAATACAACCTCGTGGAATTAATAAAAAAAAAAGACGGAAACCAATATACGCGTTAAGATTTGCATAGTTCGTCGAGATGAAATGAATTTGTAAATGAACTTGTACAATGATTTAAATGATAACGCTGTTTGTTTAATCGATAATCGATGTGTTTAATTATACTGTGCAACGAACGACGACACTTTCGTGAACATATACTAAGAATGCGGAATCTGTGACTTTCACGAAATGCATTGGGTTAATAAGGAATCGCAGGTTGTGAGAGTCCCCATTGTTCAAAAAGCCGGGGTTAAGAATGGAGGAATATTCCATTCATTAAGAAAAAAAGATAAGGAAGATTTTTTTCATCTTTAATATTTTCTACGATAAATTCATATTAAAATGAAATAGTAGTGTAATTTTTTTGAATGATTTTACACAATAAAGGTGGAATAAAAAGAAAAGAAAGAGATTATTATAAGTGGCCAGGATGATCGCGTGGACGTATGTATCTTCATGCGGCATCTTAAATGCTCGGCAAACGCTCGGCAAAACGCCCTTTGTAAATTTCGCCTTAATGGCTTTTATACTCCCACGTGCTACATTCGGTCTCTTCAATCTTTCCCCCATTATGCACAGTTCTTTCCTCTTTGTATTCGTGCAAAGAAATTCGTCCTGCCGAATATGAATACAATGGGGGATTGGTGAGCTGGTCCGGGGACCCGCTATGCGGCTAATTTAAATGTCGTTTAGACTCTTACAACAGGAAATATATAAATAATAGGAAAAAGTATTTTCAAACACGAGTCATCGACGATGACAGAGTTGTAGCATAATAGTTAGAAACGACTTAGACTCTTACGAGTGAAAGTGGAGAATCCTTCGACGAATGATCGTATCGTATCGTCCAAGGAGATTTTCCTCGCGAGAATCCTTGCTATTTGTTACAACAACAAAATTTACAAGTACCTAAGAGATTCCAAAATGTTTTTTTTTTTTTTTTACTTGGGATTTATATAGGAAAGCCAAGAAGACACCTGTTTGCATAGGTTTATGCTTTGAAAAAGAAGAAAAAGGAGTTTGTAGATGAAACACCTGTTAGTATTTCTGTCTATTCCATAGTTCGCTTGCTCTCTCACGTTCCCCGCATTATAATGCATTCGAGAGAGAGAAAGAATAGTTTTCGTGTCGTGACGTCACGAACGGGATAGAAAGTCTATAAGAAAAATCTACATTCCTGCATGCGTTCTTCTCTTGACATAGGTTTGCCGTGACGTTAAATCACAACGTTTCTATGAAGATGATTTCGCGAGGAAAAAGGAAAAACGATTGAAAAGATAATTTGATCGTAAAACCATCGTTAACTAATTGTATTTTGACGACATGAAAACTAGCTAAGTTTTTCGTTTTGCAAAGACACGCTGAAAATTGAACGATCTCCTCTTGGAAGTAAAATGACGACGATTCGGTAGCTCTTGCAAAGATTCTTCTCCTTTCGTCTCGAGTTATCTTCTTCCCCTAATTTGAAGTCGTCAAATTGAAGCACCGATTATCCTTGCCGAGTTTATTCGAAGTACCGATTATATTCGTAACCGCTGACCGTAAACCGCGAACGTTTTCGAACCAATGAGAAAGATGGGAAAAGAAAGACCAAAAGGAAGAAAGATATCGATCGCAAATCCGTTTTAACTTTAACTTTAACTTAACTATTTTCTTCAAATTAGAATAGGTATTGGTTTTTTTTTTTGTATCGAATCGGGGAATTCTTACGAATAGAGTTTTTCAAATTATCGCGAATTGTTCTCGCTAATAAAAGTCAAGCTCGGAGATTTAAAAGGAGTACACTTTTATTTACCACCACCAAAGTACTTGTCGTTTTGTTACCGATGGCCTGCCGCCTAACGGTATTTCTACCATTCGGTTGGACATTTTAAAAAACGAACTCGTTGTTTATTAGCAACGTTTCAGTATACCGACGTAGCGCAAATCGCGTGTACAGTTACGGCACACATACCGTACAAAGCTTGCTTTAGCTTCAACGTATATGAACGAACGAACGAGAAAGAGAGAGAGAAAACGAATCAGGCTCTCTTTTCCTCATAATACGCTATAAATTCAATTAATCCGCTAAGAGATAACCTATCGGCCGAATAAATATACTTATACTCCTCCGCAAAGTCTCTTACGCAACCACAGCAAATAATATTTTTCCAATCTCATTGCCACATTCTCGATTTAGCAAAAACAAGAGGAAACAAACGCTCAGTTTCCTTAAAGAGATCACATTTAGCGTTAAATGATTATAGAAATTATTTGTTTGATTATCAATAATACGAGATATTCTTAGCTCCAACATCGGTTGTCCTCGTTGACGTTAAAAGCCTTGGATGTCGTAACCCGAGTCGTCTTGAGCGGTTCGTTGCTCTTTCGCTGGCTCCTCTACCAGGACTCTCGCGGCAAGGATCTCTTTTGCGATTCGCTTCGACGACGAAGGGAAAAAAACAATAAGAAGAGGGGGACAATACACAACACACCACAGCCGCATACGTACGAGTTGCAAGAGCGGTCCAGCGAGTTCGAATGGGACAGCAGTCACGCGACCGACAATTCACTATACTTTTCTAGTTTATCATCCTTCATAGCTAACAGTTTTTCAAGAGTTAGGTTTTTAATAAGCGCGAAAAAAAAGGAAGCTCTGATTACAATAACACTATTTTACATAGCCACGTAGAGTACTTGATGCACGCGTAATAAGATCTCCATTAGCGATCCGTGCATCTCCGGTCGGATCTCTTCGTCTTACTTTTGATTATTATCATTATTATTTTGTATGGCAACGGGAGGTAGGTAGGTAGGTAGGTAGGTAGGTAGGTATAGGTAGGCGAGAAGATCGACGACCGTTCTGATACCGGCCACGCTTTCGCCCGTTACAATCGTTGACGACGAGGAACTCGAGTAAATTAAAAGGAGAAGATCCCCCACCTCAACCGAACTCTCATTGAACGTTTTTTTTCTCTCAATTATTATACCAAACGATCCCAACAACGACGTTGGGGCTTGTCTCTCGAACATTAATCGCTGCTACGATTGACAGGAATAATCCCTACGATACCCTATTTATTTCGAAATTGTGTTCCGTATATTCTTGATAAAAGTCTAAGCTTTACAACGTTCTTATCTCCTTAGAAATATATAGAAAAATTCATCTCTTTATCGTTATCGTTTTTAGTTTTTTCTTTCTTTCTTCCTTTCTTGTTCCATTGGACTGGATTAACGTGAATTAAAAGAAAAAAAAAAAGATAAAAAAAAGAAGGAAAAGAAAGAAACATGATCTTGGACGAAATGACGCGGACGTGCGTCGGCGATTTTAAGAATGCAAAGCTGACGTCAAAATTGCTCGCGATGTGCAACATTTAATGTAGAGAATAAAAGAAAAGAAATAAAAATAAAGGAAATGGACAAATTTAGAAGGCTTATTTAGAAGGTATACACACGCAAGAGTACATATACAAGCTGTTAGGCGAGCGATAAATTTCGAAACGTGTATTCCTCGACATGGCACGTACTATACGCGTATGTACTCCCGATACGATTGTCGAATAAATCTCAAAACGATTCTCGTAATCCTTCCAAGCGTAAAGAAATCTCTTATTACCGGTGAAGACACACACAGGATTTGCGGATTATTCACGGCTCTTTTGGATATATGTTTTTCCTTCCGCGTTTACGACTAACATAAGTCGTGAGCTTCGTCCTTGCTAGAATTGCGCGATAGACAGATAGATAGATATATATATATATATATAGAAAAAGAGAGAGAGAGAGAGAGAGAGAGAGAGACTTTCGAAGGAGCGCCGAAGGAGAGGAAGGCCGAACACCTCGAATTCCATTGGGTATCACGCGCGCGCGCGCACACACCCGCGACTCTAAAAGCGAAATATCGGTTAACAAAAATCAAACATTTCGTTTAACACTGTCAAATGCATCGTTCAAACGTTTAATAAACTCTTACCTTAGACTCCTCGTACCTCGATCTTATCCGAAAAATCCGGCCTGTTGATTTTCAAACGAAGAAGAATCCTTGATAACCCAAAAACCGGTGGAGGCACTTGGAAGAAACACCAACCAGCGTCCGAAGCTTGATCTACCCAGGAGATGGGAAAGAGAGAGATAGAGTGAGATGGATAATGTATGGGGGGAGAGCTGAGGGGGCTTTGGGAGAGAGAGATAAAAAGAAAGAAAGAAAGAAAGAAAAGAAAAGAAAAGAAAATTACTTCAGAAATCTTCGTACAGCTTCCCTTGATCTTCAAAGTCCTTTGGAGAGATTTATCACGGCACTCACGCACAGAATACAGAATACCGCTACTAAACTTGTTCGAAACAGGAGACGCACGAGGACGAATCCAGCGGTGGTAGCGGCGATTGACGCGTGCGTGTATGAGTAAGTAATGCGTGAATGCGTGCGTGCGTGCGTGCGTGCAAGCGTCTCTTGCGTCGTACGTCGTGCGTGCGTCAATTTTCTTCACCGTTAAGATGTTCGAACGAACCCGAACTAAGGAGGTCTGCGCCAATGTCTCCGAGCAGCTTTCGTATTCGCCCGCTCGACCGACTTGCCATTCTCCCTACTTAATTTCCCCTCCTTTTTTCTCCCCACCAACTTTCCAATTAATGGCGCGCATTTCGATTGTCCGTTAGGATGTTATGCGCGCCATCTGTCTTCTCTAATCTCGACACATCTTTCTTTTCATTTTATCTAAAATAATATTAACAAACAATATTTATCTATTTCTAATAATAATTGCATATTTTTAATAATAATTACCCATTTCAATATATGGATATTGAATATTCACAAATAATCTTTATTTGACCGTATATAAAATAGTTTAAAACGTACCTAAATATCCTATTCTATGTCGTTTGCTAAATTTAACAAAATGACCTTGTTGTTTTTTAAGTTACTATGATTCATCAATTATATTGACGATAAATTAATATAGAAAACTACAAATACCTTTATTGAAATTATATCTCTATTGGTACGTTGAAAATTTGAAATTAAATCGATATAAAATTTGTGAATCACTCAGACAGTGTTACAATGGCGGACTAGATCGTTGTTTTTTATCCGTGTCGCCAGATGTCGATCCTACCGTTATATATTTTTTTTACGCATTTCTATTGGTTTGAAATGACTCCGTTCGACCAATCGCATTTAATCTTCAGTTTCATAGAAATTACAAATGACTATGCAGTTATAGATGCATTTGTATGTTTTTTTCATAACTTATGGATAACCACGTGGTATTTATAGTTTACTGTTTTAAGAAAGTTTAGCATTTATTTAATGTTTATTATATCAATTGTTATATGACAATGACTGAACCCGAGATTTTAAATAACGTTATAACTGTGATCGACGGTAACACGCGAAATTATGAAGAATTTTTAAGGTATGTATAATTATTGTAAATAAGGTTAATAATGTATTGCCTTTAGTACTCTGTATCAATACTGTGCACTTTGTTTATACACTTTCTTGATACATTAAAATAATTTTAAGAAATGTTTCCTTAAATATAATTTAGTTAACTAATGATATGTTTCTTTTGTTTTATCAAGTATACAGAATGTTGTCTCAGTCAAAATCAAAAATGCTACGAAACAACTTTATGACTTTACAAAAGAACAAACAAAAAGAAATACAGATGCATTGCCAGAGTTATTAATCGATGGATTTGATGAAGAACAAATTTGGCAACAATTAGAACTGCAGAACGAAGGAGAATTAACACATTTTTTAAATAACGTACCCAAATTGTTAGCTGGTAAGAAAACACTAACGTTACCTATCTCTCCTACAAAGCCTGAATTAACAGAAAGTAAAGATGAAGATGCCAAAGCTGAGAGTATATCGAGCGTGGATCAAGAAAAAGAAGAGGAAGAAAAAGAAGAAGAAGAAGAATTGAAGAGTAATTTAAAAAAGGCTAAGAAGGCAAAAAGACATCATAAGAAGTCTATCGTAGATGATAAATTTTTTAAGTTACAAGAGTTAGATGAATATCTTACTAAAGAAGAAAGAAAAGAAAAACAAATTAAGAAAGATGCGGAGGAGTCGGACGACGACGATGAAGAATCTGTAGATTTATTTAATGATATGTCAGATGACGAAGATGATACTTCGAAAGATGGAAAATTTATTAAATACGCAGACTTCTTCGATAATCCTAATAGCGAGGATGAAGGCGACGACGGTAAAGTATTTCCCTTATCTAATGATAGAGGTGAAATCGATGAAAAGGAAGATAACGAATCGTTTGAAAATAGCGAATTAGAAGATGTTGATGAAGATGATAACGATTTAAAACCTATTACTAAAAAAGTTAAGTTCAACTTAACAAATGATTCGGATGAAACTGATAGCTTAGAAAATAAAATAGAGAATAAAGAGAAAGATGTAAAAACAAAATCGTCTCTTGAAGCACGTCAAGAACGTTTGCAAGCAAGAATCCAGCAACTGGAAGAAGAAGCGCTCGCAGAAAAGCCCTGGCAATTGAAGGGAGAAGTAAACGCTGCTGTCAGACCACAAAACTCTTTATTAGAGGAATATGTAGAGTTCGATGTTACCTCCAGACCACCTCCAATTATTACCGAACAAACTACTTTTAAACTGGAAGATATAATAAAGCAACGAATAAAGGACAAGGCTTGGGATGATGTTGAAAAGAAATTCAAGCCTGTCGAAACACCTTTGGAATATAAGAAAAAATTAATATTAAATCAGGAAAAGAGCAAAGAAAGTTTGTCTCAAATTTATGAAAACGAATATCTTAAGCAAAAACAAGCATTAAATCCAGAAACGAAAGAAGTCGAAGAAGAAGAACCAAAAGCACACGTTGAAATTCGCGAAATGATGACATCCTTGTTCTCCAAATTAGATGCATTATCTAATTTCCATTATACTCCGAGACTGGTACGTGTTTGAGACATAACACATTCATATTGATTCTCATAAAAGTTTTTTTTTTTTTAATAGATTAATAATATATTATATATAAATTCGTTTCTTTGTAGGTTCAGCCGGAAATTAAAATTATTAGTAACGTTCCTGCCATCAATATGGAAGAAGTTGCCCCAGTAGCGACCAGCGATGCTGCCTTGTTAGCTCCCGAAGAAATTCAAGGTATTTTTTATTGCTTAATATTAATAATTACATCACCTTAATTTATTCAATTTAAAAGTACCCTGATTTATTTATATTTCAATGTTTTCTAGCCAAATCACGAGGCGATATCATTGGTAAATCGGAACGAACGACCACTGATATGAAACGAGAAAGGAGAAAGAAAAAACTCAAACAAAAGGAAAAACAGAAAGAGCGAGAAAGAAAAATACAATTAAATGCAATGAAACCAGGAATGGAGAAAAAATATAAAAAGAATATAAACTTAGAATTGACGAAAAAATTAAGCAAAGATAGGAATATTACAATAGCGGACGAAACAACGAACAAAATCACCAAATCTTCGAATGCATTCTTTAGTCAACTACAGGACCAAGTTAAAAGTCACATCAAGTCCAAAGTAAATCCAATGTCTAAAGACAAAAATAAGAAAACATCTGCTGCCAAATTAAAATTGTAAATATTTTGTATATAAAATATATAATTATTTTAAATAGAATTTTATTTCTTTTAATGAAATTGGTCTATTTTTTTGGTCTCGACTTGACGCGATTAATACGTGTGTGTATATGTGGTCGTTTAGGATTGAGGAATATCTTTAATGAGTATGAGTAAGAAGATTTCAAATATTTAGAAAGATATCAATATTAAATACAAGATGTTTAATCAACTGTTACCTACACATTTTGATATCTTTCATCTCTTCGCTATTATAATTATTGTCAGAGGTAACGTTGAAACTACATTCGTACAGGATGATTGATTGAAAAAAATCGTATATATATATATATGTGTGTGTTATGTGTATACCTCATAATTAGTGAAAAATGTTCCCAATTCATCATGATATGCTGCAATTTTAATTTGGATCTGCTTATCGAAAATTTTGCTAAACATGTACAAATGCATTGAGTCACACGTGGTTACTTATAAATGCAATTATTTATATGTATAACATTATCTATATTTTTCTTTAAGAGTATCTAAAAATGGTGTTTTGCACAGAGAAGCAAAGTGGGTTACATAATTTTGTACATTGTCAAGTTTGAACAATTTTCGTCAAATGTTGATTTATGATTGCACGGTTTATAATTACAAAGATCTAAATTAAAAATAATTAAGCTAATCTTATATGACTAACGATAAGCTGGTATTAAAATGATCATGCTTTGTATAGATTCGATTGATTAATTTTAAAAATATTTCTTTTTAATAATCAAGTAACACATTATACCTAAATTATATCTTAAAAAGAATTTGTTATGTATACAAAATGAAGTATGCAATATTCTAATGAATAAAAAGATCATATTACACTACTTCTTTGAACAAGGATAAATAAAATTAGACATCGGTGATTTCAGAAGATTGCAATCGTTATCTATCGTACCACACTTATTTATATATGCCATGTAAAGCAAGGCTTCTCTCTTCTGAAGAACGTTGTAAATGTCCTACTATAAGCTTCCAAATAATAAACTACTTTGAAAGAGAAAGAGAGAAAAAGAGAGACACAAATTGAATCAATAAAACACAAAGTTTTTCATTCCTTTGAAAATTATTAAATCATATTGACTATAAAATAACGAAATTCGCATTCTTGCGAAACGCATTGTCAGAAAAAATTTAATTTTATAATTACATAAAAGAAGAATAAAATATTTAAATATCTTCATATAATTACCTTCATGTTAATAATTATTAATTTATAGCTTTTTTATTTATTTTTTGTTGTTTTAAATTACTTGCTAAAATATCTGTTAAAAACACATAATAGGAGCAAGCATTCTCTAATGGCACTTTAGCTAATGTAAGTAATACCCACTGATCTTAATAAGAATGCATTGTAAAATTCACACAATTTTGAGAGCATAATTTAAAATAGTCCTTGGAAGAACGTAATATCTGAAATGCAATGCGGAAAGAAATAATCGATTAGGACCTAATCATTACGCTAACCCAATCTGATGATAACATAATGTTTATATAGCATATAGAGAAGGTGCTAATCATAAACTCTGCACAAGTTGAAATAATCAAATAAGAGAATGTGGATTAAGATGCTTAGAATAATCCAAAAATGATTAAAACTTGAAGTTTGTTACGATGTAAGAGTGTCGGCAATTTTTGTCGTTGGTCGCTACTCAAAGGTGGTAGTAAACATATTTAACTCTTCGAATCCGGAAGCGCCACCTTGATCTTGTAACATTTGTAACATATCTGAAAGCTCTTGAGGTTGCGTGCCAGGACCACCAGCCTGCGTAGGATGAGGAGGTTGTGATTGGCCAGTAACTTGTGGATTTGATTGTGCAGCATCTTGTTGTGGCGTTTGGTGTTGCTGTCCTTGCCATCCCCACATACCTAGAAATAATATATTATTAAAACAACTGTAGACATTTTCTCAATAGAAATATTTGGAAAGATGAATTTTCTACCCGGATTATTAGGCACTGTCGTGACTGCGTGATATTGCGTAGCTGGTGTTCTCGCACCGCTACTCAATTGCGTATAGGTCGGTCCACTTGGTGACCTAGACGGACTTAATTGACTGTATTGATATCCTTCTGTTACAGGTTGCTGCAACATATCATTTATTTAATTTTTTTAATAACACTTCTTAAATATATATGTCGTTTATCTTAACGATTCGTTAATACGACGAAAATTACCTGACGACCAATTGCCCATGCCTGTTGTACAGGAGTCGGAGATGTATTTGCAGGTTTTGGAATTCTGCTTAATACAGAAGAAGTTGTACTTTGTTGACCAGGTGAACCGTAAGCTATAGGTGACTGCGTAGTCTCGTACCCTTGATAAACATTTTGTGTACTGGACGGCCTAGGTTGCTGTGGACCTATAATAGAGAGTTGCGTTGCATTTCAAATCATGAACTTTTCATAAATAATATATAGGAATTGTGTCTTACCAGCTGCGGCGACAGCCGCTGGATGTTGCATCATATGATGGGCTGGATATATGGGATCCCTGGTGGGATGTCTCTGAAGAGAGTAATCATAAGTGGGTACAGCTTCACTTTCCGTTTGCCCATCACTACCGGAATGGAATGACCTTTAATTATTGAATATCGTTAAAAGTATGTTTGTTAAATATGCTTTAGAAGAATTGTAATATTATAAAAATAGTCTTACTTCGCATGGGAGTTTGTGCAAACGATGTACTCAACGTCGTCGCTAAACGGATTTAAAAAGGCAAAAGCCGATGTCCTCAACCATACCCAATCACGATTCTTAGCTCGAAATCTATACATCACAGAAACCACTTGCCCTTTCAGCTTCAAAACTAAATTAAAAAAAAAAAAAAACGATTGTGGAGTGTTCATAATGTGTGTATATAATAATGTAGGTGGTAGAAGATTGAAAGACTTGACGTTACCTTGTTCGAAGCTTTCACGCATATGGGTTTCGTCCTCCGGATGAAAGAATTGGTAGCATTTATGCCCTAAAAGTTCCGAGGGTGTATACCCCAATATTCCACCGACTCTTTGGTCCACGAAGGTAAACGTACCTTCCGAAGAGTGACGTGAAATAAATTCTGAAAGATAATTTACGTAACAATATATAATACGTAGAAAATAGATAAAAGAAAAAAAAGGAAGAAATGTTCTTACCACTATTGCTATTGGAACCCGCTAAATCATTAGTATTTGGTGTGCTAGTGACCTGTAATCGGCCAATGGCGACAAGGCAGCAATGCGTAGATGAACTTTCATCAGTAACTACACCGTCGGGTCCAGTTTGAACTCCTCCAGGCCCCCTATCACCTAGGCCCACACCTGGTACACATGGGGTAACAAAATCACCTACAGCGTAAAACAGTGAATCAATGAAAGATTCTTCTCTGATCGGTAACATAGAGATGTTACACAAATCTTAATAGGGAGCTCTAACAAGCATCGTATCACTTCATCATTCCGGATAGTTAAAAAGAGAAAGAGAGAGGGAGATAGGCTGTTTGTTATTTTCCTTCGTTCAAAAAATCATCGGTTGAAAAGAATTATGCTTATTCCGAGGGCCGAGGAGGAATCGACGTGCCTCGGTTTATGTCCTTTCCGTGTGATCGCTGTGCGAGATGCTTAATTTATAGGAGGTATGTACAACATACGTCCTCGGTATTGCCGGGATTCTACGAATCGTAGGTTCGTTCATATTCTCTGAGCACAACGCGTCTCCCTCGCTTTAAAATAGAAAGTTGGCGCTACGTCGCGCGTTGTCGCGACCGTTATGTTGCGTCGTGGATTACGATGAAATATTGGAAGCCTAACTTACCGGTAGGTGGCCAATTTTTGATGTATCCTGTACAATGAACCACTGCGTAACTTTGTCCATCTCTCGCGGGCGGACCTAAAGAATTTCTTTGCTTTATGCGGTGAAGACCGTGAGCGGCCGCCATGTCACCCGTCGTTTGTAGATTCCCTACTTTCATCCGACAGATGAACCCTCTTCTCGAGCCCATGCACAATCTCATGGACGCTGTAATCATCGCATACCTTAGAACTACTAGACGATTTTAACTGCAGCATTAACTTACCTTGACCTTCCCTCTTGACCGTCCCGGTCTTAAGATCTAATACTCTTCCCCCTTGCTGAGGTTCAGCTGCGCTCAATTGTTCCCGTACTTTTTCGGTATCATCCGGATGTATTTGGGAATAAAGACTCGAGCCGTACCAATCACTCTGGGTATAATTCAAAACAGGCGCGACCGAATCGGAAACGTAGATGATCCTACCGCTGTCACAACTCACTACGAAAAGGAATCCATCGGCGGCTTCTAGGATCAGATGTTTCAGCTCTTGGTCCGTTAAGAAGGATGGTTTATACGCGTTGTCGGTCGCTGTGTTTCCGGTCCCTGATAATAGATCAATTAAATATAATCAATTAGATTAGTTTTCAGAAAATGGAAAATAAATATAAACCTACTTTAGATTTTTCTAAAAAATAGGATAAAGAAAAGCGAGTATCCTAGTCGATCGGTTTAGGTGCGATAACCCGGTCGGACGTTAAGTTAGCCGGAGGCTTCCAAGTACGCGAGAAGACAAGGAGAAAGAAGAGAGAAAAGAGCAACAGTGGTACCAAAAACGAGGACGGGGCACCTCGCCAGCGCGGAGGTAACTATCGAGGTGCAAGATCGGAATTGCAAAGCGGATGGGAGAGAGAGAGGCTCGCGATGCGATCTTTACCCCGATATACGGAGAAATTCCGGGAAGAGGTACTTTAACGACTTCCAAACAAGATCTATGGAAGACCCCGGGTGACCTTCGTTACCATTAGTTTCCACGTGGCGAGCGTCGAGACGCCTTTGGGCTTGCTCTTTCAACGGAGATATTTATTTTGTCTCTATATAAAAAAAATTCAACTTTCCTAAGGGTTATAAACGTTAACGCGAAAAAATTAGTTGGGACTCGTTGTTCGATAAAGCGGGTGGGCTAGATGATATCTCTCATTGACGTGAAAAAAAACGATAGAGGAAGAAGGTGGAGGTGGTGCAGAAGGAGGAGCTGGTAGGTTGAATCGAAACGAATCGACGTAGTCGTTGAAGTGTTGTTCGCGCGCGAGCTTTCGAACGGTTCTTTCACCGTCGTCGTCGTCGTTCGTCGGTAAACTTTTATCACTGCACGGCTCGTTAACAATCCGCAACCGGTGACGTAGAGAGAAAGAGAAGTCTCCAAAGCTTCTCCTCCTCCTCTTGGACTTTTGTAGATATCTATGTACCAAGTGCATCGTGCATCGAACGAAGTTATGAGAGTGGAGGAGAGGGCTCGTGGAAGACGGCGTAAACGACCGTCGACACATCCCGGAGGCGATACTTCCCCTCACCACCTTCTCCCTTTTTCTCTTCTTCGGATGGTCAGGTAAAGAAAGAGAGAAAGAGAGGTCCTTTTCCCCTTCCATCCCTCTCTCTCCCTTACTCACCTTCTTTTTCTCTGCGTTAAGCAATTTGTATTCAGCGGTTCTCTTGTCGGGAAAGAGGAGAAGTGGCTATAAACAATGCGACGCACCACCAATACTTAGGTGGAATCACGGCACGCACACACCACGCCTATACGTGTCCGAAGGTAAAGGGACAGCCGACGATGGAACAACTCCACCCATTCTTACACCGGAAGCATATATCGCGCTTTCTGCATTCGATATGACCCCCGTAGTACGACGACGAAACCATCCGTGGGTTACGCTCGTTCCGGTAACTCCGAGAGAATCGGAAAGAAAGAAAAAAAAACCCTTTCTTACTTTTCCCGAATCCATCCCAAGGAACGCGAGGAAGATTAGAAGTATTATTTCTTTTGTTCTCTCTCTTTGATCAAAGTTCGATTACATCATCATTGCCTTCGGGGTTGCGACGTTCCTTCTCCTACGAAGACAATTTTCGGTATAATCCGTTAAAGTTCGTCATCTTATAATGAACCGGATAAGGATCCGGATTAAATTTCGAATGGCAAATTTTCCCTTGCAAATCGGTTATCAACTCGAAGGAGTTCGATAAGGAACAAAGTAGTAATTTACTTAGAATTAGTTCTATAACGCGAAACGTGACGATTAAGTTACCCCCACTGATGTTTTATGAATTATCCGGCACGGTCAAGGAAATAACTTTCGGTAGGTATAAACTCTCTCCTTTTTTTTATCCGAATGGTAGTTGACTTTTATTAAAAATAAGAATCGACTTACCTCGTAGAGCTTTCATGTGTGCCACTGCCATCCTCAGTATCGTAAGTTTGTCCGGTTTCCTCGCAAGGGCCGAACAGGTTGGTACCATGTCCGAGAGTTCGGTGATGTAGGCGGTCATCTTGTTCCGCCGCCGCCTTTCTATTTCGCAATGATTCTCCCTACAGTAAGTTGCAAGAAAAAACCAAGGTAATTGCATAGTTCGAAGAAATATCTATACGAATATTTGGGAAAATGTTAACTCGGCCAACGAGGGGAAATGGAACGCAATCTATTTTCTGAAATGATCATGCGTGTAGTACGTGCGTCCGAGATCGATTGGACTAATAAATTCTCCTAGTCCGATTATACTACACGTAGTTTCGAAAGCATATTCAAGGGTTCGACGAGATTCTCTCCCATTGTCACGACGAATCAAATTTCAAATTCAATTGACTGCTTTTGAACGTACAAAGTTTGCCCCAAACGTGCAGTACCAGGCATATGCCTTACAGATTTCTTTATCGGAACTACTTAATGTGTTAAAGGATATAATGTCGTGGGTTCGCCTTTTTTTCAGTAAACGAAGAAGAATATAAATGAAAAGAATAAATAGGGATAAAGATCTAAGAGAGAAAGAACATCCGGGAGGTTAAAAGACACATAACAACGAGAGGAAGGTCCACCAGGATGGGGCGAATACTACTTGCAAGAGAAAATCTTTCTTTGATTTCATTCTCTCTCTCTTTTTCTCTTGTTTCACGGACATAAGAATAAATATCTATCTATCTATCTCTTGTTCTCTTTGTAAGAAAGGGCAACGGCTATTTAAAAGAGTCCAGGGCGCGCTTAAAGCGCAAGTATAAAGCAGACTACGTACGACGACGTACCGGGGTCCAGCAACGCGATGGAGGAGGTTGCTTGCGAGCTATGGAAAGGGCGAAAGGGACGTAGAGGGAGAAGCGGAGGGGGAAGAGAAGGAAGAAGGAACGCGATCCAAGGAGGAGGACGAAGAACTCCCTGGGTCAGAGGTCAGACGCTCCGAAGTTGCTCGCTCGGTCCGGGGCAAGCGGATTGACTATACGGGGTGTACCGATAATCGCGCGAACACCAAACGATACCCCGTGCGAATGCCGTCTTGTCCAAGATCCTTATCTACCACTTTCGGTACAAGTTTATCCTTCTTTTTTGGACCTCCTCTCTCTCTCTCTCTCGACGACACTATTCCTTTATTTTTTATTTTATTTTATTTTACTTTTATTTTACTTTTCCTTCCTACCCTTCTACGTTTGCGATCTTATCTCTCGTTAGTTAAACTTCGTACGTTAAGGTATATCCGGTCTTCCAGGTTCTCGATTACTGCCCTAAAGGGTAGTAAATACGTTTGAAAAGTTATATTTATGGCGCAACACGCTGCCGTCTCACGCGCGATTATAACATCTTCGTTTGAAAATGATTTAAACGACAACGATCGGAGTATAGTATCCGTTTCATCGTTCGAATACCATTCGCAGGATTATTCTCCTCCTTCTTCTTCTTCGTCGTTATTCCTACACCGGCATCATCTTCTTCATCATTTCTTTCTTTTTCTCGATAAATATGCACACCGAGTTGTAATAACGCATATTACCGGCACTAAAATTGTGAGCGAGTCTATCGAATAGATATTTCTTCCTTTCCTTTCCTTTCCTTTTTCTTCCCTTCCCTTCCCTTCCCTTCCTTTCTTTTACTTTACTTTAAGCGAACGAAGGAAAACAACAAACAGAATTATTCCGCGGTTTTACAGAGACTCGTAATCGCGCGCCACCGAAAATGCAGGCTTTCTGTATTAATGCCGAGGTCGAGAAGAAGAAAATACGACCGTGGGGGCCCTCCTCTCCTCGGTTACGAGAAGTATCAAGAAGAACAAGAGGAAGAAGAGGGTTGGCTTGCGGCGGGAGGCAGTAATTGCGTTATTAACTTAAAAGTGAGGTTCTTGAACGCGGTTGCTCGCTTGCTTTCTTGCTTGCTAGCTTGCTTGCTTGCTTGCTTACTCGCTTGCTAGGGCGACATCAGAAATCGGTTGCGGACCGCTCGAGCCATGATGCTTTTTTCCCTCCCTCCCTCCCCCATACCCTTTCTTCCATCCTCTTTTCGACAACACGATGTATGCGTGCTTACTCTCGTGTATCTGCAAAATGACAGTAGAGATTGTTGCTTGAGGAGAACGACTCCACCCAGTCGCACGCGATCGAACAAGAGAAAACTTCTGGAATAATATATCCTTTATTTCTTTCTTTTTTCTTTCTCTCTTAGGGTAAATTTAATGGCAAAGCAAAGTTTTATAGGGGTTACGCCACTATAGGATTTTCGAAAAATCTAATTTTTTTGGTTTATTTTGGTTATCTCCGGTGGCCAAAGTTAAAGGACGACGACGACGGTACGCGCGTCCTTTATGTTCGGAACCTTATGTTCCCACGCTGGAGCAGCCTCGAGGGCTTCCCATTCCGCTATCGGTTCGCATTGGTAGGTATCATGTAGGTATGTATGTATCTTGATACTTGAGGAGAAGCATGTACAGGGTGTATCGGTAGAACATATTGGGACCACGATTTCGTGAGACGAATTAACAATGTCGGCAAGCAAAGGTATCAAAAAGGTGTTCAACGCTTACTCTTCTTCTCGAGCCTGATACTCACCTCGCAAACCTCTCCTTATCCTGCACATTGTCATCTTCTAGTCTTCTATATTTACATCCACTGGTATCATCCTCGTCCGACCTGAAACAACAAAAAAAGCGTCTACTTATTTGACCGTAGAAATATTATTAGAAATTCAAACGTACAAACGAAACGCAAGGATAATAAAAAAAAATACGGGAAAACATTTTAACAAGATATACGTATGCGCGGACATGGACGAATTTAATTCTCGATACGCGAGTCGCGAGCGTATATACTTCTTATTTTATCTCTCTGTCGTGCGTGTGTGTGTGCATGCGTACGAACGTTACGTACATCCCAAGATGCGTGGTTGAACGATAAATTATTATACCGTTCGACGAGAAGTCGAAGAAGAAAAAGCAAAGAGGTTAGCAAAAAAGGAAGCTAATAATTGCGCGAATAGATATCGCGTCATCAATATCGCGCAATACTATAATAGCTTCCGGATTACCAAACGGGAGAATTGGCCTATCCAAAATTGGCCTTCTGCTCTACTCAACCAAATCTGGATCACCTAACAGTAATCGGTTCGATCCGAAATTCGACGCATGGAGATCGTCGAGTTAATTAATTAATACCCAACGAAATAAAACATTAGTGGAATGACGAAAGGAAGTGTAAAAATCATTTCTCGTATCTATGAACGCGAGAAGAATTGGAGCGAAATATAATTTGATTCGTTCCACTTTTTCCTTCCTTCCTTCCTCCCTTCATGCGACATCACCGATTCGCCATAGTGATGCTAGCTAAGGAAGTCAAGATTCAAGACCTCATTACCGTTCACACCCGGAAGAATATGGCAAAGCCCGTAAGGGTCGTTCGCTACAATACAGGAAAAGATATAAGAAAAGCTAGAGATGAGGTGAGGTGAAGTGAGGTGAGAGGGGGTGACGGACTCGAAGAAGCGCAAAAGAGGGCACCGTAAATCCGTCACCGCCGTCTCATTATCGGTATCGAAGCTCGTGTTCTTTCTACCGACGCCAGTATTAACCGCTCGCTAGAAAATTATGCTCTCGTTCGCGAGCTAAAGGGAAAAAGAGAGAAAGAGAGCAGCTCATAGAAATCCGGCCGATCGTCAGGTCTATTGCACCGGTGTGTGCGCGCGGGTGATGTACGGTTCTGACCCTGAGAGAAAAAGCAAGATATATCCCCATACCGGTGTGCGCCCTCCTATCCCTCCCACTTTTATTTTTCCTCCCACCCCAAGCTATACTACTCGCCATCGTACGTACTCCCCTTCTACTCTCGGTGGTACCTCCCTCTCTTCACCTTTCTCATACCGAGGAGAACTACGGAGGACCCGGTAGAAGAGAAAAGTGGGGGTGGTGTAGGGCCCGTACCGAGTGTATCCGGGTACCTCCGTGCCCGCCAGTCCTCCCTTCTCACTCTTCTTCTCCTCCTCCTCTTCTTCTACCATCTTCTTCTTCTTCGTCATCGTTGTCGTCGTCGTCGTCGTCGTCATCGTCGTCGTCGTCGTCGTCGTCTCTAGAGCCCTCCAATATATATAGTACCTTCCACCTCTTTCTCTTATGTTAGAGCACCATAGTCCCTTAGGAGAGGGAGAGAAGATGTACCCGGAGACTTATGGAGTACATAATGATGCGCCTCGCGGTATTATGTCGACTTAACGGATACGTACGAATTTTTTACGAATCTTTTACGAATCTTTCGTGAGAAAGAAGACGAGTGAATCCACGTTCGTCGCTCGATCGAACACAACAGGATGGATCAAATGTTCCTTAGAGTTATGACACTTTCTTTTCTCGTTAAAAGCCCTGGCATTTATATCTTTACTACCCGATTCCACAACTTGGCATTATAATCCGCGCCTTCGAATCTAATAAGAGAAAGTTTAAACTACGAAGCAAGTACAAACAACGCGGTGCTCCAATTGCTGCACCTTTCAGAAGGTTTTAGAAACGACCCGTGTTATTCGAGAGGAACATGAAAAGGCAAATGTTCCAAAATCATTTTATTCGCGGCACCTTCTTCTTCTCCTTCGTCTTATTTCTTTCTTACAACTTGATATTTATAACTTGGTAAAACAACAAATTCCTTATATCTATCTTGAAATATAACGAAAATTGCAAAAACGCGTATCTTATCCGGATTTTTATGTAATAAATCATATAGCGAATAATACAAAAACCGGCTTCATATCACGTACGTGAGGAGTTGTAAGATGGTCCCCCCCCTCCGGCCGTGTCGTTATGCGAGACGTTTTTGCATCGCGTATGCATCGTCCGACGGAAAGAAGATCCCCTCCTCAGTGTGCTAAAAGCTTGGATCGAGGACAAAATTCTAACGATCAAATATCAATGCTTCCAATTTTCGTCGAGTAATCAAACATTTATATACTTTTTCCTAACGAAATATTACTTTCCTAAAGAGAAATAACTATTATCGTTTATCATTCACCAATTACTCAACGTAACCTTTGAAGAACAGATTTTATCTTAGCGAACACGCTGGTTTTAACGATCGTAAACTATGCAAGCAAAGTGTTCAAAAATTTCATTAGAAAAAAAAGAAGAGATGAATGCAACAACTGATAAAATTAAATATACGAGAATATTGACCCTGCACGATACTAAATCAACGATCGCGATAAACCATGACGTCGATGGCCTATTACAAGAGACTCGAATAACGAGTTCATAGCATCGACTGGTAGCATTGATTTACAATTGGACTACGCAACGAGCGAAACAAATTTGGTAGCGTATCGAAAGAAACGAATCAATAGCTGTTCTTCATTTACGATCGACGAACACAAGCTTACGACCGTGAAAAAAACTTTCTTCCAAAAAAAAAAAAAAAACCCAGAGATTGTCAGAGCTATTGTTCCATTTCTTCCGATTTCGAGTTTCCTACTGTCGGCTCTTTCTTTCACGAATGTGTCTTATGTATTGGAACAAAAGTCGTGGGAACTGAGTATTAGAGATCTTTATCTAACGTGCGTCTAATGTAAGCCCCGACTCTCTCATTGTAACAACTTCGAAGGAGGTTAAAGGCACGTACGTAAAGTAACTTACGAAACGAAGAGTTAAACGATCGCTTTTTCGTATGTTCTTTACGACGAGCAAGATTCGGAATGTCGACGGCATTGCACAGCATGGTTGGTCGGTTGGTCCGCGGTAACCATAAGCATGGTGGGCGGTAACGCTGATCTCACACGAGACAAACGTACGGTTTTACCGTCGGTAATTAGGCCTTCTAATTATCTCTTAAGGCTTACGCCACTCTCCGGCGATATGCTCTCGGCGATACGTGGCTGCTCTAAATGACCGATGCGACGGTTTGGCATTAAGAAAGATTAACGACCGCGTTTTAAACGGTTCGAACGAAAATATTTCTTGCGCAATTAGTCGATCGCTAAATAATTCCACGTAAACGTTTGATAAAAAAAAAGTAAGAAAGACAATGTGACATCGAAGAATTTTCAAAATACGAGGGAGAGAGGGAGAGAGAGAGAAAATACCACGTGATGTGGTAGTACGGGGCCATGTCCAAGTTACGGTGGCGCCTTTTTGCATTTTTCCATTGGACTCTAGAGTCACGACTTGACCCCTCTCTCTTTCTTTCTCTATTCCTTCTTCTGTTCCTCTTTGTAACCGTTGTCCAAGCTCTCGTCCTCGTACATTTACGTTCGCCATTCCTTTACGTCCACGTGTGTTACATCTACCAACTCATCCTATAGTCTTTTGAGACACTTGCATGCACATACATATGAGTGTTTGTTTGTCCCCCTATTGCTTGCCTTTCGAGAACAGGAGAAGGAACATCTACCTACCTACCTACCTACCCAGTGTACCTATGAAATGCGCGGTATTTTTCCGAAAGCTGTTAGTTTTACTCTTAGCGCGGAATCTCATCGATTTCTTACTATAAAGAGGATAATTGAAACGTTCGCAATCGGAGCAATGCGCAAGAAACACACACCGAGATGCTATACTGCATTTCCGTATCGTATCACGCGATACAAGAAGTGTTTACTCTGTTTAATTGCGCCTTAAGCATTCTTATATATTCAAGGAGAAATGAAAAAAAAAATACGATTACCAAGTTGAGAAGAGAGAACTCGACAAGTCGAATCTTAATTCGTTGACGACGACGACAACGACGACGACAACGACGACGACGACGACGCGTTACGACAACAAGCGTCCTTGAGCGTCCAGTTATTTCAAGTAGCATTTAACTATATAATTATGCAACGAATCATCGTATTTTAGAATAGGAGCTTGAAGTCGTCCGTTCAAGCGAAACGACGGCGCCAATTGTTAATCTAACGTTAATCTAACGTTAATCTAACGATGATTCTTCCAAGTTTTCTTACTTGGTTTTCTTTTCATCAGGGAGAGTTTTACAATAATGCTCGCACCGTACAGTTGTCGCATATTAAAGTAAGATCAGAGAGCGAGGATTGGCGGTTTATAGAAGGGGCGGTCCATCTTTCCCCGCACGACTCGCGCCAAACAACTTCTTATCTCTTTCTTTCTTTCTTTCTTTCTCCCAGACGATCTTTTATTGGTCACCGCCTCCTCGATCGATCCTAACACAATCTCTAATTCCTAGCAAAGACTGTCCCATTTTATTTCTTAAACAAAATTAGAAGTAGAAGTAGAAAAGGTATAGGTATATTATCGAGGATAATTGCAATTCTTGTGATAGTGTTGTTATTGTTGTTGTTCAAAGTCTAGCCGAGTAGAAAGCCTTAAACTCGTAATTGATCCCGATAGGAGAGATGCAAAAGAAAAGGAAAGACGCGCGCGACCCTAGAACGGAACCAATCGGGAGAACCGGCCGTTTTCACGCCTGAGAAAACCTTTATTGTTCAGGGCGTGTAAGCTAGCTAGCTTCGAGCGGAAAGTCACGCGACTAAGAATACGAGGAAGAGGAAGCACAAGAAATCCATCTAATTACCCTTACAGCCGTACAATCTATGCGCCCTTTAACAAGATCCCTTTCTTGTTCTTCGTTAAGGATATTTTAAGAGAAAGAGAATGTTTCCAATTAATCCAAAATATTCATTAAAAATGTATAGATTGGTTAGAGATGAAAAAAAAGAAAAAAAAGAAAAAAAAGGAAAGGAAAATTCTTATTCGGTTTGATAAATCGGCAAGCGCGTTATCTCGTTTTATTTATGCTCGCGATGAAAAGTATCGTGAGTAAGCTAAGTGTCCGTATCGCACGCGTACGACCTAAATATGGATTTAATATCAGACGAATGAGTCGAGGCGTTACAAATGGAGGATTCATTAAAAGGTAGATAATTCGACAACAAGGTTTTGAGCCATATCAAACTGAAAACACAGATATTTTTTTTTCATTTCGATTCAACCAGTTGAACGATTTCTTCCACCTAAGGAATGCTACTTCTTTTTTCTTTTTATATAGAAGCATGCGTGAAATAAATATATATTTATCAATTAGATTTACATTTTTACAGGTTAATGCACCAGAAATCACCTGTGCTCCGTTTAATTAGTTGCATATAACATAATTAACGTTTCCCTGTTGATGTTTAATGCGTATTCCCTGCCGATGATAATTGCACTGTATAAATGTAACGCATGGAAATAATGAAAAGAGTAAACACACGATTTACATAGGACTTCCCGAAGAGAATGTAAAAAGAGATATCACGAACGCGATCTTAGCTGTTTAGAAAGAAGGCTACTTCGAAGTCAGTTGTCACGAACATCGACCAATCTCGATGTAAACAAATAATACAGCCTGCTTTTTTCAATGTTCAACATCAACGAAAAAAGAGATGCGGATGCATCAAAAAAATGATAATCGTTCGTAAGTAGGAAAATCTGTTAGTAAACCGTTGATCAGTTTCCTCAGTGTAACAATAAGACGGGCAAAGAGAAACTAAAGCAGACAAGGTCCAAGTAATGGAGTGCTTTGGAGTTTTGGGTTTTATGAAATGGATTACGCAACAAGATCGCGGTAATCGGCGCGTAAATGCGTGAACGGTCACAAATCTCTGCTACGTGACGAATTCCTCAACGAGTGGGTTTTGTTTCGTGCTCGCACGTTCGGTGCACGTGGTAGAGAGTGTACAACGAGCCGTGTAAACTCATCGTATTAGACACCCTGGCTACCCTTAATCTTCCTTCGTGTGTATTTTGCGGCTTGTTAGACGCGATGAGCCGCAAAACGAGAACCCGAACCAGAGATGCACTTTATTAAACGTCGACTTTTCGTTCCATCATCATATAACGATTATTTCGTCATAACATTTCATAAGGTAGAATTGCACGATTATTTGGATTTAAAAAAGCATACAATTAAATCGATCGCTTTTAAGGTTTTCTTTGGGAAGACTTAACGAGCTGAGTTATAGAAAGAAAGAAAGAAAGAAGTAAAAAAACACACGTTGATTTTCGTTATAATTAGACGATAAATGAAATCAGCGATCAGCGAGGCCAATGAAATATTCGCTGATAAATGTAATCTCTCGGGTATTGTACGTGCTCTCGTTTCTTCCTACGTAATACGGTCACTCTTGTACGAATGTACGTGCATACATTCATACATACATACATACATACATACGTACTTACATACCGTACCGTACGTAATAATATACGAGCTGTGCCGTCATAACTATTTCTTCGCGTATATATGTATTTTTCTTGTGATCTCAATTTATTATCGTCGCGCGTGACCGCGCACCGCAATTCTGTTGTATGCATTTCACGATAACGTCAACTTTGTACCCGCTTTGTTATATTTTCGAGAAGATTATCGTTATCGTCGTTTCAATGGCTTACGCCAGAGTATCTTTTTCTTCAAGGTCGCCAAGGAAGTTCCTCCTTTTTTTCTTCCTCTTTCCTCCTTCCTCCTTACTCCTCCACCGTCTCCTCATTCTCATCCTCCTCCTTCTCCTTCGTCGTCGTCTTGATCTCCTCTTCAAAGGAAAGTTACGCGCGAAGAAAGTGTAAGTATCTCATAATAAAATTGCAATTACATTTCTTGATTATAATTTACTTGCTAATGTAGGTAGAAAAAAAATGCTGATCTTGCAACAACAAGAAAACCGTATGTTTTTCAAACAGCCAATGATTGCACAAGGAAAGTTAATAATAATCTCTCGCAGTCAAATATGGTTTACAAAATTTTGTAAGGTAAAACCGTAATCTGAAAAAAGCAACGTAAAAATAGTTGTTTCTTTTTCTTTTTTTGTTGTCTTTTTATTTAACGGTTAATAAATATTCAGTTTATGCAAGGATCGTCAAGCTCGTTATCGATTCACCGTTCTCGTAGTTTTGAGGCGCGCGGTAGGATCGGATTGGCTTGACGAGAATTCGCAGTCTTTTTTACGACAAGCTTGACGATAATAGAGCTATCTAGATTCACGACCGACTCCTGTATTTTTCACACAGAGACACGGAACATGTGCGTTCCGCGTATCTTTGGAATGCTTTTTCTTTCGAATATTTGAATCCTGATAATGTACTACAAGTAAGATAACATATCTATGGGAAAAACGAAAGATTTCTTGGAAATTTGGAAATAATCGTTGAATAAACTAGCATGCTGGTATTCGAAAATTGCGACTTGGAAAAAGTTAGAATTAATCGTAAAAGTGGGGGGCTCGTTTGCAAAGTAGATTCATAAAATGATTACTTTTTATTGCATCTTGCGGAATAAAGAGAGAATTACGGGTGGTAGATTAGGGTTAAAATACAATCGGCACAAATAAGTTACAATAAGGTGAATCGGCATAAGTAATCTTCGAAACGATCCGCAAATTTCTTCCGCTTGTCGATGACGACGACGACGACGACGGGGTCCGAGCGAAAGGCGAATCCGTAAGTACACCGCAAGCCTCTCAATTTCAATAAGCAATCGTAAGTACTTCGGTCACGACTCTCGATAACTAGATTGTTTCGAACGAACTCGAGAGAGTTTCTTTCAATGATCTCTAAGGGGGAATAAATCGTGCCAGTTGACGAAACCTAACCCTTTTAACATTGCATTCTTTTTTTCTTTCTTGCTTTCATATCAGCTAAATTCCACGCAAATATCTTCAAGATCTCTTTTTAACTTTTAATAGTACTTTGATTTTTTTCTCACGACGATCGGCAACGTCTTGTCTATTAACATGTGTACCATATAATTACCGAGATACTTTATAATCATCAATATACGTAATTTGTAATACGTAACTCTTGTCATACGTAATTTGTCCCTGTCTCGCGTTAATCGTCGCGTTCATCGTTATTCCTTTTTAATAAATAATTTTCTGTTTAAGGCTAAAATGTTTTTTTTATAAAGGAAGTATATATTACTCTTTTCCTCGCGACGTTCATCGATTTAAACGTGCATGTCCAAGTTACCACAAAAACCGCGTGCCCGTTTAAAAGTCCCAACCTTTCCCACGATTCTCTGCACGTTCCTATATAGAAAAGAGAGACGGTATCCTTTGGTCAAAAGCTTAAAACCCGCTTTGATATCAAAAGGGCCGACTTTTAACCCCTCCCGCGGGAAAACGATTTTAGTAGACGGAGGATGGGATGTCAGTTTCGTGCTTGATGGAGCCAGATGATCTTGAGACGATGATCCACCGTGGCTGGAAAGAAGTTTTGCGCTCGAAACGCGATACTCATCTCTCTTCCAAGAGTCAAATAGGGTCAAAAAGACGAAGATTTACCTTCGTGTTTTCGACGACTGCTGAGAATCCGAGTGCGTCTGCTGTATGTGATGTGGCGATAGGTTGGGCCCGTAAGACAGAAGCTGACTTCCGCCGGTGGGGCAACCGGCTGGCGGAGGTGGAGGTGGAGGGCCCAATTGGTAACTCACGCCGGAACTCGAGGGAGCGTAGTGGGGCCCGGGTCCCGGGCCCAAACCGACCCCATACCCTGTACCTCCCGTACCACCCCCGTACATACCACTGCCACCGGGATATTCTATTTTGACGGCCTTTTCTTCCACGATTTTTTCAACAATTCAACTATCCTCCTCCAACGATCCTCATCAATTCTTTCATTCGCTCATCTTATTTGAATAATCTCTCTTCGTATACAAGGAGACATGTTCTTCCTTTTTCGTAACTGATTCTATCGGTTGTTCGCTTAAATCAATACAGATTTCATCAAGTTATATATATATATATATATATATCCTACATAGGTTTGCTGTTTGGCACACTGGACACCTGTTACACGCTCGAGAAGACACGCGCGTGCGTGTGATCGGGATATCTACGCGACGGCCGAAGGGTGCTCCGCAGGAAGTTGTAATATCAAATCTCCTTTCTCTCTTCCTTCACAGTTAAATCCTTTTTTAAATTATAGTTAGATTGATCATCGAAACATTGCCGTCGGCGATAGATTTTTCTTTCCAGAATCTTCAAAATCAAAGAATCGCAAGAAAGTAACGATCAGGTACTTTTACTTCTATCGTATTATCTTCCGTTCCGTTCATTTCAAAAATATCTTCGTTGAGAGTTGTTGAAAATTTCGATCTTGATGTTGAAACAGTTAATATTTCATCGCTTTCGAAATTGAATATCCATCATTTGATTTTGAACTATGCAATGATTGAATAATAAAAACAAATTGCAACAGATACCAGTGTTTATATCCTTTCACCACTTTCTTCTACAAACCACTTAGAACAAACTCGCGAGAAAAGCGGGAAAAAATAAAAAGAAGTTAAGGAGTTAGGGAGGAAGGGAGTTAGGGAGGGAGATAGGAAGGGAGGAAGGAAAAAGGAAAAGAAATTTGGTAGGAACCGCGTAAATGTTGGATGATCTATTCAGACGAGGGCGCGAGACGCGCGTCGTTTAAACTTGGCACGAGGCATCTTAAAAGTTACGACGAATAGCACCGACGACGATATCGATTGCTACGATCGCGATGGGACTAAGGACGACGCGACGTTCATTCGGTCGAAAAGATCTAACCAGAGATCGACAGAAACGGGGATCGAGGGACGGGGATCGAGGGACGGATGTGGATGGGTCGTCGACTAGTCACCACCCACAACTCGCCAGTGACTGATTCCACCATAGCCGTATAATGTGCCCGCCGTAGTATACCCCGGTAAGGACTATCACTTCTCCCACCAGAGAGCGGAACAGCCACCGTATAAAGCACGACTTTTAAACCGGGATGCCTTTCGTCCCTCCTGGTGGTAGCAACGGAACGAAACGCGCCTTCTCTCTCTCCGTAACGATGACCCCTCCTTGTACGCTTCTTTTTCTTTTTTTTTTTCCTCCTACCACCTCCTCTGACACGATCTCCTACGAAATAATCGGCTCGACATTTATATACCGCTTTAACGCTCCAAGCAAATCTATCAATTATTCACCATAATCGTCAACCTCGACTCGCAATCCCACTGTCTTCCTCCTATATCCGCATCGAATATAATTAAATTATCAGTTTTCAAATACTCAATGTTTTCTCGGTACGAAGATCAAACGAGTTTAGTACATCCAAATGATTCGGTTTAACGCGACTTGGAAAAATTATTTTAAGTTAAGAGTCTACAAAACGATAACGAAATGTTTCTTTCACGATGTCGCAATAAAAAACAATAATGACGGTATAAAGAAATATTACCAAGAGGTTTTAGAACAATACTTTGGTATTGTCTGACAATGACGACGACGAATTACTTGCAACGTAACTAATTTCTTTATTTTAGTCGACCGATCGATAATTATAATTGATCTAATTATATTACTCAAAACAGATATAATTATATTATTCAGAAACTTTGTTCGATTTATTCTTATTAAAAGAAGTGCGAAAAAAAATGTTCTAGCTTGGCCATCTTGTCGGGTATTGATAGGAAAGATTGATAAAAAATTATAGATCACCATTATCGATCATTATCATTGCACGTTTCGATACGATTACAAAAATACAATCTTTGTATCAATTAAAGATCTGACTGTTCGAAAAATTCATCGTGATGTAGATATTAGAGTTAATTATTGGTATTATCGGGTACGTGTATATAGACATAAGGTATACTCGACTATCCTGACAGCTGATACATTTTAATAGATATTGTATCACTTAGTATTATCACGTGCTTTTTAAACGAATACAGCTATTTACATATACATAGAAATGAAAAAAGACTCAATTACAGGTAATAATATAAGTTTGCTAATTAAAAATAATAAATAGATAGCATCTTGTCCGACAACATGATCGCTATGTTTTAATAAAAAACATATTTTTTACAACCTGTTGGTATTATTTTAAAGCGAAAAGCGTTAATTTTTTTTAACCTTTTAAGTGGTGAATACTCTTGATCAAAGCGTTTTCTAAAAATGGAATATTTTATTGTTAGTCGGTTATACTAGGTATAACTATCAATAAATTATAATTCTTATTATTACAAATTATATAACATAAAAAAGATTTTTACTAATATAATTTGATTATAACCAAAATCCAAACATTTATCTATATGCAAATCAGCATAGCATTGTTCGCATTTATATCGACAAATGCATATGTGCAATCATAACACTCAAAGGGTTGATAGGTACTATTATAAGAATGTAAAAGGAAAGTCATATTCTGCAATATATAATTATTTGAAGCCGCATTTAAGTATACTATTTCTTAAAGGTTTTTCATATTTTAACTTACCCTATATGAATAGAACCGCGCTTCTGCGCCATTTGACTCTGATCACTCCCTGTAATAATACAAAATTTCATTAGCACGTTTATGACATTTATCTATAAATTAAATTAGAATAATTGCTTGCTCATTTAGGACAAATACAAAATATTTAAGTCTATATTTTCTTAAAGATATTTGACTCGTATCGTTATGCAACTAATTTTACTGTGAGCGGTTAAATGACCACTTTAAAAAAAGCATATATTTTCATATAGAATAAGATTTTAGCCAATTAGATAATAAATAATATTATTATTATTATTAATTGGCATTAGGAATTCGGAAGTTCATTGCCGCAAATACCAAATCCCGCCATTGTTACATTTAAATCCCTTCTAATATTATCCTCCCATGTACGTCTTGGTCTACCTAGTGGTCTTTTTCCGTTCGGTATACCGACCAATATTTTGTGCGCCGTTAGATCCTTCCCCATGCGCGCCACGTGGCCAGCCCATCTTAATCAGCGTGATTTTATGACGTTAACAAAAAAAAAATAAATAATATACATTTTTTTATTTAGAAACAAATAATGTACACTTTGTGTTTTCACAAAAACAATAAAACACTGTATACATCTAACGGTACTCTAAAAAAAGTAATCTTGACATCTAATGACAATCAACTTTGTTTGCACTATGCACACAGTATAAGTTTTAAGATCATAAATATTTTGCTTCTAGTATGTTACATATGTAAAAATATTTGGCCAATCAAAGCTATCACGTACAAGAACTATCGTATATAATCCTCTGTAATTAATATAAGCAAGCTGTATAAACTATTGGACTCATAATGTTTAGTAAAATCAAATGATTATATTTTAAAATACGTGACATTAAAATGAAATGGTGGACAAAAGTATATATAGATAATTTTGATTAAAAGGTATTTCATGTATTTCTCATAGAAATTAGTGAAACTATATAAGGAAAAGCATAACGAGCGTCAAATTTAGTAGAAGATGACTTTTACCTGGTATAGAGTGAGCGATCGTAGATACAGTAGTGAACATCCAGTTTGAGTTTATTTCTTACACGGTTTATACAAAATATCTGGACTATGGCCAATCGTTTTTAGAAATATTACTCAGCTTTAACACTCCACTAATATCAAAACTGGGTGTTTAGAATCAGGAGTCGCGCCATTTTGAAGTTTTACTCCGGATTTTTATTTTTCCTTTAACCTCCGAATACGATTTCAATAGAAGGAATTTTCTGTAGCGAGACGCGACTAGCGTACCGACGTTATACACTAGCGCCTTTCCTCCCTATACAAGAACAGTCGAGAAGACACAGTTCTTTGTATAACGTCCAAGAGTATACTTGTAAATCGTAATAATAAATTTATATTTCTTGTTGGTAAAATCTATAAGTCTATACTAACTCTCTAGATAGCCTTTTTCCACCGGCCTTGTTCCCCCACATTTCTTCGACTAGGACGACATCAGGTGGGATATTTCTACAAGCATATATTCTCCCCTAAAATGGAAGTCCTGGTTTAGTTGATATAACCAAAGAATATAGAATTATATAGAAGATCGTAAGACAACTTTCGTGTAAAATAGTCATTTTATTTAACACCGAAACTACCACTGGACGATAGTAGGTACTTAACGCGATGATGGTCCAATACTATCAAAAAATATAGTATTCTTTGACACTATACTATAGTATATATAGTATAGTTATATATCCTATAATATAATTATAAATAATTATGTTTAGTTTTTATTGTAAAAAGATGTGTACCTTCAGAAATGCAAACTTCCAAAAAAATATAAATAGAGTGTATTAAACATTAAAATAATTGTTAATTAATCGATGCGAGTGTCTACTGTTATTAAAAAGTTCGAAATATATGATCTATAACATAGATCATATATGTGCGTCCTCTTCGAAATCCACCTTCAGACTGGAACGCAGCACGTGGGAGCATTGCTACGCATGCGCAAGCCAACATCTGCGAGTACGACGGCTATAGTGACGGGAGCCTTCGTGCGCATGCGCATGCCGACACCACGGCTGTATAGTAAAGCGATGTCATATTACTGCATATGTACTATGTTTCTAACCTCTCTTTTTTATATTAGTGTCATTTTTTAAGTTTATATAACTTAAATTACTTTCGATTAAAGTTGAAATTATTAAATAGTTTTGTGTAAGAAAAATATTGTGTAAATTATATTTATTTATTTATTGTATTTATTAAAATAGCAATATGAGTGACGGTAAGTCGAGTATTATTTTCTTATAGAAATATTGTCAAATGAAAACATAATTATCTATCCGTCTAATCAGATATAAATGACTAATAAAATTTACATTGTAAGAACAGTTATTTCATTAAAATTTTGTACTATCACATATTTATTTTTTGTAGAGGATGTAATACGCAGAAGGTTGCTAATAGATGGAGATGGTACAGGAGATGATCGTCGAATAAATATGCTTCTAAAATCATTTATTAAATGGATAAACAGTCCTGACGTAGACAACACATTGCACGAAAGAATGCTCTCGCAACTAGCCCAATGCGAATTTGCTCAAAGAAAGTCTAGACTGGTATCAAATATGAGTCAAGAAGAATTGAAAAGTTATAGTAATTTATCAAACGATATAGAAGTCCAAATAGAAGAAGCCAAAAAGGAAATAGAAAAGACAAAAATAGAATTAAATGAAGCTAAACGCGTAAGGAAAAATAGAATAGAATATGATGTTTTAGCAAAAGTTATTAGCGAGCAACCAGACAGATTAGAAACCAATGAAAAACTTGCCGCGCTGCGTCAAGAATTAGGAAGTCTGAAGGTAATGAAATAATAAATTTAATTAGTGATTTTGTTTCTAACATAAATTATTCTTTTTTTAATAAAGGAAAAATCTGAACAATTGGAACACAAATTAGAAATGCGAAGAAAACAATTTCACGTTCTTATATCTTCTATTCATTCTTTGCAAGAAATGTTAGACGAATGCGAAGAAGAAATAATGGATATTAGTTTAGAAAATTATGAAGATACAGATACAACTTCCATGGGTCTTTCGTAAGGATCAATTTTTAAGCATATTCGAATATTAACATAAGAAAATATAGAAAAAATTCAATTTTAACCTATTTTTAATTTCAATTTACTAGTTTTAGGTACATGCCTGATAGTTAAAGATACTCTTGTACTTCTTTCAATTATCTGTCCTTCGTTATATTCTGCCGCACACATGTTCAAATTTTTAATTATATTTTTTGAGATAGTATCTGAATAAGTTTGTGCAATAGCATGTAAATAGTCATGATACAATTCTCCAGTCAATATCAACAAACTTCTACGTTCTAATAACAAACTAAACTCCAGTTTAAGTTGTTGCGGCTAAAAAAAACATCTAGATGTATGCATTCGCGTTTAATATTTAGATTTATTTTACTAAGGATATTATTTTTAAAAAATTAGTAATCATATACCTCCATAATATCATTATGTTTGTAGAAATCTAGAAGAGTATGAGTTCCGCAACTAATAGTAGTTACCATTGGATAAAAAAGTGGACCATCTGAATGTGCCTATTAAAAATCCAAATTTCTAAAAAATCATTTATAAATACCGTCGAAGAAAAAATAATATCTAATTGATTATAATACACTTGCAAGTGTTTATTATAATTGTTACGTACCATTATTCCTTGACCAGGCAAATATTCATTAATTAATACATGATTAGGTGGCTTATCTTTCTCGAAAATATTTAAAGAAATTATTTTATCCATGTAAATTCGAAGCCACTGGAAATTGATTACTTATTAGATTAATTTTAATTTTCTATAGCATTACTTACGCCTGGTATGTCTTCAGCTATCATTCCTTTGGGATGAGGTATACCACCCCAATTTTGTAATCTTCTATTACTCAATTGAGTCCATTTTGGAAGAGGAACAGTATTAACGTGTTTTATTATTTGTATTTCTTCCTGTTCTGTTATAAAATTAGGTATATATCGTGCCATTTCTGGAATCTAGATTTTACAAACTGTCAACATAACCTTGTTATCCGATTTATGAAAAATGAATAATTAATACGAACCTCTTTAACCACATTTTCGGCGAAAACACAATTTTGCATAGTCATTTCTTAAAAAATAATAATTGACTTAGTCTTATTATTAACTTGTTTAAAATGACAATTGTCAAATTTAAAATAAACTAATCGATATTTGCTTTGTATGATACACTAAAATCGAATCAAAGTTAATCGAATTTAGTTTATAAACTTTGTCGTCAGAGAGAGCGCGTGCGCTTATAAACGAGGTCATTTTAAATTCGTAAGTTTCTCATCTCTACGATATTTCATTTAAAAGAGGGAAGAAAGTAGAGATGTGAAGCAACAATCGTTAGTTCTTTAATTTTTCTTCTCTACAACATTCTTTGTAATTTACGTGTATTTAACAATATGCAAAATTATATAACAATTAAAATATAAAACAAGTCGTATAAATTTTAATAACGAACAATGAACAATTTTTCATGTAAAATGGTACATCTGTTTGTTGTGTTTAATCTTCATATTGCGTAGCATTTCGAATGAAATCTATAAATTGATAAACTCTGGTGTAGACATCGGGCGAACCAACTGCACATGGCTTTGTCCAAGAAAATATTCCGATAATTTGATTATTGTAAATTAGTGGACTGCCGCTATCGCCCTAATAAAAGAACAATACTTGCATTTCCAAGAAAAAGATATATGTATGTACGTATATTAGCAATATTATACTAGTTAAAACATTTAGGATTACCTTACAGGCGCCAATTCCCTTATGTTCTAAGGTACACAAATGAGATGGTAAAATAGTATTATTGTAATAAGATTGACACTTTTCGTTAGTAATAGTTGTAAGAGTAACTTTTTGTAAAATGTCTGACAAGGGACCAAGAGAATGATGTCTACCCCAACCCGTCAAAATCGCGGATACGTTTTCGAATGTGTCCGAATTTGGCAAGTCGATAGGCTCTTGACTAGAACTCACAGTTACGTTGTCGTTCAACTGTAAAAAGGGAATTTCTCAAATATATTCATTTAGTGGTCATGAAAAGAAAATAAAAAAACAACAAACTTTTTGTTACTCCGACGTGAACTCACCGTGATGACTACCAAATCGTGGGTCCAAGAATCCTCTGCTCCAAAAGCGTATTCGGGATGACAATGAATGCTTTTAACCTTATGATACTTACCACCTTTTTTAACACTTATAGAACCGGTAACTACCGATAAATCATCATAAGGTTCGTCGAAAAGTTCGCACACGCAATGTGCAGCACTCAAAACGTGTCTTTCGCTTATCAACGCACCCCCACAAATGTGTACAGTATCCGAATATCGTAAGGAAACTTGAAATGGAAATTCATTTTCATCGCTGTCTTTTCCTCCTGCTATTCTTTTAACGCGCGAAACACGAATATCTGCTGCTGTATAACATAGTAAAAAACAAAAAATCTTCTTTGTTACATTGTTATGAGTCAACAAAACAAAAAGAACATTCGCGAAAAACATATATATTTGTTTTCCCTTACCTCGACCAATAGCAACCGACAACGACGTTGTGATTAAAAATAAACTTATAAAATTGCATCTATCCATATCTTTCGCGTGTACTTTTAGATTTTTAAATAGCAATCCGATAGAAAAAAAATGTCTTTACACCTGCTTTGTTCACACTAATAGTAAATAATGTAATACAATCAAGCTTATATCCAATGACTAACTGAAAGAGAACAGTGCTCCTATTGTAATCTAGTCTGTATTTATTTTATTGATAAACAGATAAATGAAATTAGGAAATAGTTTTCAACCGGAAATTGATTTTAAGTAATGTGTAACAAATTTTTCTTAAATTATTAAAATTAAAAAGTAAATTTTAGGAGAGTAATACATATATGAATATTTTCTACAATAATAAATCTAGTTAACTATTTAGAAATAATAATGATGAGTTTGAATTAACGGTATTTATTTGGATCGATAGCATAATCGTATTAACCCGTTTAAAAAACATAATATAAAATTGGAATGAGATTGTTTATACTGATAAATACAGATAAGTACATTTGGAGTTTGATAGAGACGCTCCTCTTAAGAACACATAGGAGGTAAGCGCGCGCGCGTGCGTAGTGCGATGCACGTACTACACACGTACTACATATGTACTACCTGGCGTATCCAAGCGAGCTATACACGATAGCCAGCGAAACGGTACATTTAGACGATCGCGGTTTCGATTGATTTTGTTCGTCTTCGTCTTCATCTTCGTCGTCATCTTCGTCGTCTGCCGTTGCCGTTGCCGTCATCGTTATCGCCATCATCTTCGTCATCATCGCTGTCGTCGTGTCGTCGTCGTCGTGTCGTCGTCGTCGTTGCCGTCGTCGTCATCATCATCATCGTTGTCATCGTCATCATCGTTATCGTCATCGCCGTCATCTTCGTAGAGTGCATAAGACGATTAAATAGTCACAAAAAGGGACACCAATAGAGCGTTTTAAAAGGAAAGTGCGATTTGACAGAGAAACTGCTTGTCACCGAGAGCAATATATTTAAGAAGATATGTTATAACTTTTGAGCCATTCGATGGATAGGATATGTGACTTCCATTGTAAGTACCAGGAAAAAGAACCGATCGGCCACGATACATTAGCGCCGATGTTTTTTTTACCACAGAAACGTCGATCGGTCCGTTGCAAAAATGGCCTATATATTACAACAAATCTGTCCTGTTGTCTTTGAGGTTATATTATCCATTTTAGTATAATATTTTTGGCTGCACCCATCGTGTAAATCATTATTTATATCTTTTATCTTAGAATTATCTTCTTTTTTGTTTTCTTTCTCGTCACGTTTGAAAATGTTCATGTAAACAAGTCAATTAATTTCACTTTCAGAGTGAAGTATAGCAAATGGAAGGTTTTAAGGTGAAAGATGAACCGATGGATGCATTAGCCATAGACAGTCAGGTTATGGTAAACATTTTGCATGAAACTGCGACACGATACGATTCGATGATACCGCGCGAAATTTAATAGAAACATTGCTTTAAGGACGAAAATATTGTAAGCGTTGTACTTAAAGAAGAACCCGGAGATAGATTTGATCCCGACTACATGGAGGATATATGCTCTGGTACTTTCGAGAAGGTATTTTTACCTATCGAAAATAACGAAGTGGATTTTTCCAATGAAATGGTAATGAGACTTTAATTATTATTTTTAACTATAAAAGAAAATCTTTACAATGATTTTGTCGTTGGTAGGTAAAATTGGAGTTGGAAGGAGAAACAAGCGGACACCCAAACTGGACGGCACAGATCACAGCGGCGAACCTTTGCGAGAAAGAAGATGGTATATCGCATAGGTGTTTAAGTGCAGCAGACTTTATGCAAGCTCAAGACGCAGAGAAACATCCTGTATTTTGTGCAAACGGACAGCAGCCAAAATTTTATAAGATTCAATGTTCCATGTGCAAGAAATGGTTTCTTAACAACGATTCCATGGTCACGCATTTAAGAACGCATTGTAATGGGAATCAGTGCGAGGTTTGTCATCAAAACTTTCAAGACAATTCTAGCTTACATGCGCACATGTTAACACATGTTGGCATGAGTCCGTTGGAGTGCAATGTTTGCCAGAAGAGATTTGCTTATAAGTGGTGTTTAAGAGATCATATGCAAATGCACTCGATGGATAAGCCATACGACTGTGACACTATGCAACAAGGATTTATGAAAAAGCCTGAAAATAATGATGAGCAATCATTGAGTACGGGAGAAAGACCTTTCGAATGCGACGTATGCCATAATACTTTTAGAGAAAAAGGAAATTTGAATCGACATATGCTGATTCACACTGGAGAGAGGCCCTACAAATGCGAGATATGCTACGCCGCTTTTAGGGAAAAAGCTAAATTAAATATACACATGCCTATACACACGGGTTTGAAGCAGTTTAAATGTACAATGTGTCATAGATCGTTTGCTCAAAAAACTGCTCTGAACAATCATATGTTGGCACATAGCGGAGAAAAGCCGCATGCTTGTAATATTTGCGAAAAAACGTACAAAAGGAAATCAGAATTAATCAGGCATACGATGGTTCATACTGGTGAACGACCCTACGAATGTAAAGAGTGCCTAATGACGTTTCGGGAAAAAGCTAAATTAAATTCTCACATGTTGGTTCATACCGGCGAAAAACCTCACGAATGTCATATATGTCACAAAGCGTGCGCGCGTAAATCCGATTTGAATAGTCATATGTTATTGCATACTGGCGGGCAATATGACTGCAAGGTATGCGATAAAATTTTTACGCGAAAGTCTGATCTGAACAGACACACTTTAATACATACTGGCGAAAAGCCGTTCGCGTGCGATCTCTGTGAAATGGCGTTTAGAGAAAAAACGAGATTAAATTCTCATATGTTGATACATACCGGCGATAAGAGGCACGCATGTCATATTTGTCAGAAAACTTTTAAAGAAAAGGCATCCTTGAGGAAACACATGTTAAGTCACACGGGAGATAGGCCTTACGAGTGTTACGTCTGTCACAAAGCATTTACGCAAAAAACTACTTTGACCAGTCACATTTTGGTACATGCTGGGGAAAGGCCTTATGATTGCAGTACTTGTCAAAAAGTTTTTAAAGATAAAGCTGCGTTAAAGAAGCATTTATCGATGCATATCAATGAAAAAAATCACGAATGTTTGATTTGCTTGAAAAAATTTAGTCGTAAAGCCGCATTGAACATTCATCTCTCGACCCATCATACATCTTAATCCGTAAAGATCTAGTCCGATTTTTCTTTACATCGAGCGCACCGTATGCTTGTAGACATATTACATGCTCACCGGTCGTACAATTATAAAAAGACGTATTTTCATTTCCTTTCTTTTTTTCTTCTATGTACCACAGAAATAAATTCATTTTCAATAGTATTTTACGTTCATTGCATTGGATATCCATAACAGAGAATTAAGTAGACGAATGATATAATATCTGCATCTCTTTCTTTTTTTTCTTTACTTTAGACTAACCCTTTCTAATTAACTATAGTCGTTCTACATCGAACTTTCACGCTTTACTAATGACGATTATTTTCCAATTATTTGTTCACTTTGATTATCCTAAAATACATTTAGTTATAATGAATTGTAACATCCGCGTTATAATTATTCGCTGAAGGAACAATATTTTAGTCTTCCGATTGTTCCTACAGCGAAATTGTATTGATGAAAGACAAATTTGTATTGGAAGGGTTAATTAATGAATGATAGCAAAGCCTTACAATGCACAATGCACGATGCACGATACAAGTTACGCGATAGCATTCATCAATAATTTTACATATTTCTTTTCCATTAATTTCGATTATAATGTAACGCGATGTTTCTTTTTTTGTTCGATTCGATTATTATGTTTATACAATGCTAATGCGTTAATAAGAAAATGCAAAAAAGTACAACTTAATGTATATTATATGTAAAGTTAAAATAACGAGTATGCAAATTACGAGAGTTAAGATTATTATTATTCATTTCCTTGTAATAATGTCGTTAAATTTTTGTCTTTTATGCGCTTTTACGACATACCTAATTAGAATTAAACTATCAAGTTTTATTACATATGTTGTTTGATTTTGTAGTAGTTACAATATTTATTCGGCATATTTGACTGTGATTAGCCATCTTTGCTCGATGGTCCTTAAAAAAAGAAAACTTCTATTCACGCGATAACGACGAAAGTTTCCTTCTATAAAATGCATACAGCGTATATATATTATATATATATATATATTATCTTTATATATAAACAAAAGAAAAGAAAACAAAAAAATAAGAGACTGTGGCAAAAATATACTTTATTCATTCCTTCGTTTTCTGTACACGATAAATATAATATAAATATAAGTGTTGATAACTGTATAAGAAATAGTTTTATCAACAATCGTACGTTTTATAAACTTAACTAAAAACGGAGCGTGAATTTAACTTGTAAAAAAGATCAAAGAAAGTATATTATACAAAATATTGCGATAGATATATATATCTACATGTATATCTACTCGACAATTTGTTCCATCTACGCTTCTCTCTGAAAGATTATTATTTTTAATATACCTTCGATATATATATATATATATGACGAACTAATCATTATATACTTGGCCATAAAACGACTCAAAAGTTTCTCAAGGAACTTCTTTTAACGAGCCTCTTTGCTGTCACACAGTGCAACAATTATTTTTATAAACGAGAATGTCTGTGATCACAGTTCTATTTTTAAGCACTAATATTTTTATACATATTTATTTTCTAATTGGCGTTCATTTTTTTTTTTTAATGCCAATTTTCAAACTTCACTCGTCTCATTTTTTTTTATTTCATAAGAAATAATCCATTAATTTGTCATGCTAACTATCGACAGTTTTTTTTCTATTTTTCAAAATTACCTACTATTATTATTATTATTATTTTGTTTTTGTTCAAACGTGATATCTAGATGGCACTGTAAGACAGTCTTGGAGCAGCATCGTGTAACACAGTAGCACTCGATAATATTGCGTACTCTAAGAAGAGTACTCTATCTTATTGCTCGAGTCAGTCTAGGTTGTTTCCTTGGGGTGAACGATGCATTCGAGAATGAATCAAAGTGAGAGTCTTACGGATACCGAGTATTTTCCATATAAGAAAATATCTAACGTAACGTAAACGGCATGAGTTTTCTCTTTCTCCTCCTCCCCCACCTTTCTCTCTCTCTTTTTTTTCTTTCATAGCCTACCAAACTATGTATATCTGTATACGTATTATGTATCTTAGATATGTACGTATTTGTTTAAAAAAAAAAATCTTGAGAAAGAAGGGGGAGCGTGTCTGAATAAGGAAGAAATGTTAATTAATATTCTAAGTCGGTTTCATTACATGAAAAGACATTTGTTTCGCATCGATGAGAGAAAGAGAAAGAAATGTATGGTTTTTATTTTAATTAGCTTTAGGATAAACACTAATGCACGATGCTCAGTAAATCGGCTTTATTTATATATTTTGAACATTTAATTAATAAAATATGTATTATATAATATCGGATAGAGATCTTAAGGTAAAACGAGTCAAATTTGAAAGTAATTCAACGTTGTATATATAGTTTTTTCCATACATTTATTGATAAAATGAATCGAAGACACAAATAAGGAATAAGGAAGACAAATAATACAGTGAAATCGTACAACTTGTAACCAGGAACAAGACTACTATTCCATTATATTGTGAAAACATTTAATACGCATGGATAACATTGCAAATAAATTCCGTTATGGGTGAGCAAAAAAGCCAACTGGAGACAAGAATTATTTAGACAAATAAAATAACATCGTTTTATTTTTAGATCATAATTAGACATTTCTAAAACTAAATATATTCAGAATTTTGTCAACAACTTTTACAAAATAAATGATTTACATAATTCGCATTGGGGGAACAGGGGAAGGGGATATTTCTGAAGAAAATAAATGTAATATTAAACAAAATGAACAATTAAAAAGGAAAAATCTAATGGTGAGGATTTTATGGCAGCTAGTGGAATGTGATTTTATTGAGACGACACCAAGGTCCGCATACGTCAGATATTTTGAATACTTTCTACAGTTGTAAAGATGTTAGGACAATATACTAGCCCCCCCCCCTCAAGAGTTAGGGAGATACTTCTCAAACCGGTTTTAAGATGTCAAAGAAAATAAAGATTTATTCTTGAATTTAAATTTCAAAAAATAAGCCTAATAAAACACACACCGAATTATTTTGAGATTTGACTTGTGTTACTAAATGGCAATATACATATTTCATTTATTAAATGCTAAAAACATACATGTTGAAATACTTTTGCGCGTATGCGTGTAGATTTTTTTAGATTTAGAGATTCGATTATAAGCACGGTTTGTAGGTTGATAACGGTATTTTTTTTTTTGAATAAGAGGAATTTTTTTTTAAGGAACCCATCAGTGTATCAACGTAGAAAGGCGAGAATTCATCTGGTTGGCCTTTAAAGTTTATTATTTTTAAATTGAGAAGAAAAAATATTGTGTATTGATGTGTATTCATAATAGAAATTCTTTCTTCTTTCACTCGTTAACCGTGTCATCAACGATCCATCAACTATCCGTTATACTTATGTTGCATGCTCAAGGATTATACGAGTAAGTTTTAAAAGTGGGCATGGGATAACGAAAGTTACAGAGGATGAATTCTATTAAGAGAATAAATGCAAAAATCCCTCTGTGGAAGTAAGTGTTGCGTTTATTCGTTTCCTCTTTTCCTCATTCCTTTTTTTTATTGAGTTTTTTTTATTGAGTTTTTTTTATCAAAAAAAAAAAAAAATGCGGTAAATATATTACCATTGAAAAGTAATAAAGATAGTAAACAAATTGTAAGAGTTAAATGTGAACGCTTAAGTACTTTTATGTTTTATGTTTTAAAAAAGAGCTGATGATTATTTTAATAAGTTAGAATATCAGGATAGAAAAAAACGTAACATGAATTTTTCCATTTAAAAGGCTCCGTGACTATAATATCAATATGACATGATTCATGCTGTTATGAGAAAATACATACATATTTTATTTCTGAAATATTATAAATGAAAAATGTAATATCTTATTTGTAGATATAATTGTATTCTTTTTTACACTTTTGTTACATTCCTCTTACAAACATATTTATCTTTTATTCGTAGATACATGAGATAGGAATAAACATAATAAGATTATTTAAGGATATTGATGAGAACATAGCATAAGAGTCACGTACGCATTTATCAAGCGTGCAGATCGATTTATAACGTTTCTAGATATACGTGAGCATATTTTTTATTCATAAAATAAAAATATACTGACCTTATTTTTGTTAACTTTTTGTTAATAATTTACCTTTTCACACCTTATCTGTAATAATTGACACATTATATATAATTTTACAAATATCTTTGTGCAAAGTATTTAACGCGCATAAGGATAGAATAATTATTATTTTTTTCTACGTATATGCGTTGTTGAATAACGATATAATAGGAAGAAAAATATTGGTCTTAGGATAAAAAAAAGGACAACTTAAGAAAAAGAGGTATAGGTAGGATGGGATATAATGACCAAGATAAAAATAAGAAATACCGATCTCCACTTCTACTCTTTTCATTTTATTCCACCACCCAACAGACAAGTCATCTTTCTCCTTCTTCAGCAGAAACACTGGTTTTTACTTCGGTCACGACCCGATCACAGTCTCTCTTCACTGTTAGTAGGTATCATATCGTATATGCACGGTTCATTTCTTTAACTGACTTTACGTTTGATTCATCTCGCACAGTCGTTGATCGTCATTGAAACAATTCGGATATTCAATTTTTTAGTAGTCAAAATAGTAAAAAAAAAAAGAATAAAAAACCGGAAGGAAGGACGGAAGGAAAAATTTGGATAAGAGTGAAAAAACAAAGGTAAGAAAGAGAGAAAGCTGTGTTGTGCAGCTCTCTTTCTTACTTAAGAGTAAGCTAAGGCTTTTATATACGTGAGCTCGTGTCGCTTTCGCGGGAGCTCGAATAAGGTTAGTGAAACTTCTCTTGAATTTAAGGTGAATTTGAGGACAATACGACTACGACTACGACGACGACGACGAGAAGACAATAATACAATACGAAAGAGTTCCGCATACGAGAATCAACGAATACTACTTCCAAGTTTTTACAATAAGTATGATCGGTGTATATTTTTCTTCTCTTTGTTTTTTTTTCTTTTCATCATTATCAATTTAAACGAAGATCTAACTCATTGTGTTAGTTAATCGGATCAATATCGATTCCTTGGATATTCTTCGAAATAACGCGAGTTTTACGATTAACTGCACGCAGCAGCGTCTTCGTACACCTTGACTCGTTGATTCATTCGATTATTAACGTCTTATTAACGTTAATTAATTACTAAATCAAGTAATTAAAAACTAAACGGTATTATTTTGATTATCTGTGAATTAAAATTGTTCTTTAATTATTTTCTAACGGTACTTAGAAAAGAAAAACGAAGCGGAAACAATGTTCAATCATTTTATTTGATTTTGTTTTGTTTTTGTATTTGTAAAATATACTAGTGTAGAAAAATTTGTCCTAGATCTATCGCGAAAGTTTATAGACAGATTTTTCGAAGTTTCTACTTTCGTTTCTCGAACATGGATTAGTAAGCAAGTACCCTATGTCAAAGTATCGCGAGAAAGCAAGTACTTCGATAATTAAATCAGCACGCAACATTTGACAGATTATTTATGCGTACGTTCGTGTTTATTATTGGTACCATGGCTTTTTCTTCCTCCAGTTCGATACTTCCGTATTTTGTATTATACATAAATCCTAAACATAGATGTGTAAATCACTTTGGCATTATTCCATCGCATAAATTCGATCGCGTAACAAACAACCGCCTTTTCTTTAATAGTCCAAAAGGGAAAAGTCAGATATACGTTTATCGCACTTTGATGTATTTAATAAAGCGTCAACTTTCTTCATTTTCACCTTTACCTATGCTATCATATGAAATTGTAATCATTTCTAATCTCTCTCTCTCTTCCTCAATGTTGATTACGCAATTAATGTCTCTTGTCAAACATTTTACTTTTAATTACTTTCTTATATAGAAACACATATTCGTCAAACCCGTAGACTTTTATTTATTGTTTTACTTTTATTATTATTATTATTAATTTTTTTCTTTTGTCTATTTACGTAATCTTCGTGCCGTAGCTATAGTAAAAATCTACGACTTTTATTATAGCTTTTAATCTTGCCTTTATTATGCTTTCTTATATAAGATTTTCTATCGTCGTAGAAATTTTGAAAAAAATATTTGAAAGTTTTCAAAAGAAATAATTTCAAAGAGAAAACAATAGGTACCGTTCGATTTGAATTTAACACTATACGTTTTTGCGTTATAACATCTATTTACTATTAAGTCTCCAGTTTGCACTTTCCAATTGTGAACGTTTCCCGTTAAAGAAGGACAGGAAATTCGAATGAATGACGCTTTTGCGACGGACATGAAATATTTACGGTTAATTCGTGGTTAGTACTGGAAACACCCATATTTGAATGGTTATTAATGTCGAAACGGTTAAATAAAATATGCTTAAGAAATATCTCGCATTTCAGTCGACACGTTACTTCCTTTCAATTTGCTTACGTTTAAGTTCTTTTAAATTCATATAACCGGTTTGAAACGAAATCTGTTCTTTTTAATTTTTTTCTCCAAGAATCATCTTTTTTCGTTTACGAGAACTAAAAACAAAATATTGTTTCTCGTATTCTCGTAAAAATGAAAGGAAAATTTAAACGAACGATCTAAATTATTGAAAAAAAATATTACGATGATTAACACATAATTACCTTTAGTAATGATAGAAAAAAAAGCAATTATATAATCAAAGTGAGCAAGCACTTTTAGAAATAATATGGTTTAAAGTTCGTTTCGTGTAAAGGTCGATTTATAATTTTATCGAAGTAATCTCGTACGAGCTCATTAGATGGCCTCCCGTTTCTAACGTTCTTTTTCTTCTTCTATTGTATTTAGATAATAAATTTCCTAGCGAAGCAACTTTGCCATAGACTTTCACTCGTTAATTTATTATTGCAAGTCAAGTCAAGTCAAACAGACATCCCCTTTAACCATTATATTTTCGAGCGTTATTATTTCATCGTCATAGTTTGTTGCAACTTCTTTAAATTACAAAGTTTCATCTCCATCTCTTGACGACATTTTCTAACGTTTATAATAAAGTTTATGTTTCAGATTCAAATAATAGAATAGAAAAAGGAAAAATGGTGGAAGTACTGTTAGAATCGGGAGGACAAGAGGTGGCCATCCCAAAAGACGTTTCGAGAGAAGGCACGCCAACCGAATATGCGCCTACGGATATGCAATCCTCCACCGAGATCGTACAAAAGTTAACATCCATTCAGGAATTTTATTACGGTCAAAGCGTATTTGTAACCGGTGGAACAGGATTTCTCGGCAAGTTATTAATAGAAAAGTTATTAAGAGGATGTCCAGGTATCAATTGCATTTATGTCTTGGTACGTTCGAAGAAAGGTAAAAATGTGATTCAACGAACCGAGGAACTCATTGACGATCCAGTTAGTATTATTATTTCTATATATAAAATTTTCATTGAATTTTTCTTTTATACAAAATAAATAGAAAAAAATTCATCGTTTTTCCAGTTATTTTCCAAAGTTAAAGAGAAACAACCTAAATTCAGTCATCGGATAGTTGCGATTGAGGGTGATTGTTCGATGCCTAATCTTGGTATATCGATGATCGACAGAGCTACTCTCATTCGCGAAGTTTCGATTATTTATCACGTTGCCGCGACCGTCAGATTCAACGAGAAACTCAAAACAGCAATAACTATCAACGTTAGAAGTCTCAAAGATTTGATATCCTTGTCTAAAGAAATGCCGAAATTAAAGGTAGTATTAAGTTTTACCCGATTGAAAAATCATGTTTCTGAGTATTCCTCATATTTTGTATTTCAGAGTTTCGTTCATGTATCGACGGCATTTGCCAATTGTCTCGAGAGTCCGATTGAGGAAAAGTTTTACGATCCACCTATCGATTCTGACAAATTGATCAACTTGATGGATTGCTTAGATGAAAAAATGCTCGACGATATTACACCCCAGTACGTTTCTCGATTCATCCCTATTTTCAGATTGATTTATTCAAAGATTTGTACAATTGCAGATTACTTGGAAAATGGCCAAATACTTACGTTTACACTAAATCAGTTGCCGAAAATGTGGTGAAAAAGATGGTTGACACGATGCCGATTGGAATTTTTCGTCCAGCAATTGGTTAGAATTGTATTCTCATTGTATTATTAATGTCATTTCATTGTAACGAAATGTAATATTTGTATATAGTGATATCCACTTATCGAGAACCTATTCGAGGATGGGTCGATAACATGTACGGACCGGTAGGAATAACAACAGGTGCTGGATTAGGATTAATACGATCCCATCATTGCGACGGATCGATGAAAATTCACGTGGTACCAGGAGATATGACGATAAATGCGTTAATCGCTACTGCCTGGGACATAGCTAATAATCCAAGGTAACTTAAACATATTTAATTGAAGAAATACTTATTACTCTTTAGTTTATTTCTTTCAGACCCAGCCAAGATCCTATTTATAATTACGTATCCAAAGATAATCCGATCACTTACGACGAACTAAAAAACATGTCAGCCAAATATGGATTATTAACACCAACTATGGAATCCATTGGGTATTATAGTTTTCGAAAT